AATTAAATACTGTAAATTCAATGTCACAACTAATTTGTTCTATCATTGTCTGCCATATCTGCCTTTAGTATATAATATCATATATAATATCACTTCCAAGTAAACATAACAAGGTTATTGCAACATAATGAGAATTAAGTTTAAATAATCATTTAGTTTTCTGAACCCACCTTGTGTGATTGTTGAGGAAGATTGGGCAGAAGAGAGCTGCAGTGGAGGAAGACCTATGTCGCTGTTGAGTAATGAGCTGCCATCGCTGTCAGAGACGCCACTTGGTACCTGGACCAGACTGTAGCCACCCAACTGCAGCGCACCTGACGAGGAGTTGAACGTGAGCACAGAGGAGCCTCCGTTCTGGGCAGCCATGTTGTGAACCCCCTCCGACTTCACCTCTGCTCCGTTCACACAGCCTGGGTAGGAGCCATACTGTAGGGCCGAGTCCTCAGCAGAACTGCCCAGACCCTTCTCTTGTCCTGTCTGCATCTGCATGTCCATACCAGAACCCCCCAGCAGCACCCCTCCAGACGGCCTCAGAGGGTTGAAGGCCAAGGGCTGGATGCCCAAATTGAGCCCGTTGAAGAGGATGTTTCCGGGTGTGTGGAGGTAAGACGAGCCACCATTGTGAAACACAGCGGAGGGGGTGTTACTTGTCACTAGACTTCCATTGTAGAGACCGCCACTGCTGGATCCAGGGGGCAGCTTGATATCCCCGATCTGTTGGATGACCACCCCACTGTCCAGAGGCCCTGTTTGAATGGGATGGGTCCCATGGGTGATCACTCCATCTGAGGAGTTAGAGAGGGGCCGGGGAGACAACTCCTCTTGGCCTTTGCTAGACTCATCCTCTGTGCTGTGGTTTCCATCAGATTCACTGTGAGAAAAGGCAATTGGTTTGTCACAAAACAAAGATAAAAAAATGAATTATTAGTGGTAAACTATTGTCATAAAGTGACTTTAAGTCACTAATGAATGCAAAAAAATGAAAAAAAGATTGGAAAATGTAAATGTTCCTAATATAGATTCCTATTCATTTGTGCACTTTTTTGGCAAAGAAGACACACTCTACATAACTTTTCCAACACAAATTCAATGAAATACAGTTTGGCATATTTCCTTTCCACCCACATCTTGCCAGAGTCACATTTGGTGCCGTGTTACTACACAGCTTTGAAGAGCAGGCTCTGTTTGTGAATGTCTAGCCCTCACTTACCTCATGGAGAGCTGCACTGACAACAACCAACCAACGTCAACAACCGTGCAACCATTTGGCGCAATAAATTCTGGTGTGACAGACTGCCAGCGCTGGTGGTGTGACAAAACAAATGGCTGAGAGTATTCATTTTAATTTAATTCTCAATTTAAAATGGTGCTGTAATTTAAAACCCCTATTTATCTGTTTCCATGAAGATTTAAGACAATATAGAAGTAGTTGGTATAGATAATTACGTAATGAACGACTCTGTTTTTAAAGATTGATCCAAACAGCTGCATCCCCTCCAGCACACTCTCTCTCACACACATATGCGTGCGCGCGCGCCCACACACACACACCCTAAAACGTCTCACGACCACTTTCCAGGAAAAGATATACGCAAAAATTAGACGATTTGTTCAAAAATATTTATAGGTTATAAACTTATAATTAAACGTCGTTTCTGGATCATTTTAGTGGCAACTTAAATCAATCTATAATGGTGTGTGTGTGTGTGTGTGTGTGTGTGTGTGTGTGCGCGCGCGCGCGCGCGCGCGTGTGTGTGTGTGTGTGTGTGTGTGTGTGTGTGTGTGAGAGAGAGAGAGAGGTCACCCCACCAGGTGTGCGTCAGCTTTGTTCACAGAGAGAAACATGAAAGAAGCAACATTTCTGTCTGTCTGTGAGGTGGATTATGAAATGAAACACAGGAGCTGATGGAGGCTTTGAGATCCTTTTTGGTCTGAGAGGAAAAAAGTGACAATGAAAATGATTTATCTGCTGGGAAGGGGAAACGTGCACGCGCTGGTTGTTTGTGTTCATCTCTGACACACATACACTCACTATACAAATAGAAGAGAACACATTAAAGTAACATGTTAACTGTTTAAGTTTTCAACTTCTCGTGTCTGACAGTCAAATCACTGGAGTGTGGAAGTCACTTTGTTATTTAGTTGCTTATGGTTTCCATGCCCCTTAGCACCAACACACTTGAAACCGGATCTGAATGGCAACCGCTTCATATTTCAAAACATTAAAAGCGTGCTCCAAACCCTTTTACGCACACTTTTTTGGTTTCTTGATTATCAACGGTTAATGATTCACACTGTCAAGTCTTATAAAGGAGTTCGAAGATTAACAAATACACTGAGTATTGTCAGTCAGAGAGAATGGTTGTGAATTATAGGCGCCACTCCACGAAAAAAGCCGTCCTAATACTTGGTTTAAATTATCCTGGTTATGTTTTATTGCGCTGTTTATGCACACCACACTCGACATTTTATTAAATTGTCTTATATGGAGTTCTTCATTGATTCAGCCTAGTATGTGGCTTGTTCCTTTTGTTTCCTCACCTTTTGGATTGTGCCTCGGACGGGTTTCTGTCTCTCTGTCTCCTGTTTTTGAACCAGTTGCTGACCTGGGTCAAGGAGAGTCCTGTAATCTTGGCGAGATTTCTTTTCTCTGCAGGAGAGGGGTACCTATTGTGGTTATAAAGATCCTTCAGCGCGTTCCGGGATCTCTCCTTGAAACAATACACAGTCTCCTCGCCGTCCCAGATAGTCCTGGGGAGAGGGTACTTTCTCCGGATCCTGTACTTGTCCACGGCGCCCAGGGGTCTCCCCCGCGCCTTCTCCGCCTCGGTGTACCGGGCCTTGTACCACAGATCTTGCAGAAAGGTGTGGTTGGACGGACTGAAACTGTGGTTCTCCAAAATACTGTACAGCTCCTGATACCGAGCCTGGTGATAAGCAACGAGAGCTTGGGCTTTCAGGATGCTTTCGTTGCCGCGTAGCAGGTCACTCTGTGGCAGGGACCACAGGAACCTGGCCAGCCGGTCCACATTACCTCCCTGCTGCAAAGCCTCGCAGACACACGCCACTTGCTCCGGGGAGAAAGCCAGAGAGGAAGCGGCGCTCACCAACAGCTCCGTGCGCACCGCGTCCGTGTTGCGCTCCATGGACAACTCCGCCGCGTCCAGCGCCACAAGCTTGATGCACTCCCGTGTATCCACCTCCTTCACATTTTCCCTCTTGATGTCATTTGCTGTTGTGACTTCTCCGGCAGAAGAAGAAGACATTTTTTTGTTCAAACCTTCCCTGGTAAAGTCACTCCTCCCAGCTCGATCAGGTTACCTCCTCGCCATGCGAATGCGATCGGATATCTGACAGCAGCTGTAAGTAGATATCTCTCTCCCCTTTTCCTTCCAACGTGACTTTTACTCTGCCGCGACTGGAGCTGGAAGGAGACACGCTCGGGTCTATCTGCAGGAGAGCCACGCTATTGGCCACCGAGGGCCTCATAAGGGAGGAGCGAGCGGGATTCGGACACGAATGTTTGGTTTCGAGCTGTCAGTCATATCACAGTATATTCCCGTGGCTCACCTGTGCAAGGTGAGTGCTTTTGGGATCGTGGGAACGGGATATCTGTGTTGTCTGTATTGTCAGGAGCAGCTGATTTAGCTGTGTGTGAAAACATCAAAGCAGTTTTATTCTCATATTGAGGAGGATCCCAGGGGGAAAAATCCCGCTGGGACTATTCTCATTGTGTCAACCTGAAATGTATTTACAATTTTATATTAACTCACAAAACATTACATACATTTTGACTTATGAGACTGGACTTGTCAGAGGTACTCTGCTCCAATGGGATATTTTAAATGCACTCTCCTTTTTTTACTTTCAGTATAAGTTCAAGGTGCTGGTTGTGATTGAGAGATAAGGTGTGAATATTGCCAGTTTGTCTGCCACAAGCCACTCACACATTGGGTTTATCAAAACCCAACACATAATGATCAATGAGGAATGTCATATTACATCCCATACATAAACATGAAACATTTAGTAATGGCTATAACCAAACATCTCTTCATTGATGCAAATTCAGAGCATTTCCTCAATTACATTAAGTACATGTGATGTAATATTTCTGTGCAGTTTTATTTTCACCTTTCATATTTCTTAGAACCCCAGAGCGTACCATATATCCGTCTTCCATGAATATAATTTGAAATAAAAGTATTTAAAACAATTTTAAATAAAGATTACTAATCCACCGACGGCCATGTGAAATCTGTTAAAACATAAATCGTCAAAACTTAATTTGAAAGCTGAGAAATTGGTCATTTTATCCTTTAGCAAATAATAATTGCCAGTCTTATGTGACACTGGAGTCTAATTTGGTGTCAATCAATAACTGACATTTATACATATAGCAAATCAATATACCCATATAGGCTGGGCTTTTATTGATTGTACTAGAATATTTTTTTTAGAGCTATAACCTTTGAAAATACCTACCTGTTAGTGTTCCTCTTTTATGAATATAATACAATAATCATCCCTTTCCGTCTTCATCCTGCATCAATAATAAATCACATGAAATATCCACCTGACTTGGTGGCTATTTCACGTGATTTATTATCTTAAATAAACAATACATTCAGTTTCACATCCAACCAAAAACTACATGATATCAGAAGCCCTGGTGAGTAACATCTGGAGAGGTTTTTGGTTTTAATTATGTCTCAGTCCAGTCTTACATTAGATCATGGTATATATTGGGGTAATCTATATGGTACTACACAGACGAGACAGTCCAATAATCAAAACAGACATTTTATACATTCGTCTATACGTGAAAATAAACCACTCAGCATTTTCCCTCAGACCCCCCGTGACTCGCCAGGGACCCCAGGGTGTGCCTGCACCACAGAGTGGCCACCACCACTGCTGTAGAGGTCATCATTAAATAGGAACAGCTCTTATTAATGGCGTTTCTTGTCGGACCGCATTCTGTGTAACACAGCGGTTCGCCACCGGGAAAGTGACAGGAGAGGAGAGCTGCTAGTTGTTGACAGTGCTCTCGAGCTCTTATTTTGTGTTGCACAGACAGAAATGGACGACCAGGGATGTCCGAGATGCAAAACAACCAAATACAGGAACCCGTCGCTGAAGCTGATGGTGAACGTCTGCGGCCACACGCTGTGAGTAAAGTTATTTATATCTGACAGCTAAAAGAAAGTAGAGAGGGAAGCTAATACCCCCGAGTTTGTGCAACAATTCACCTACTAACACAATAAACCCATAAAGCAGGCGGCGAAGTCCTGAAATAAAACTATGCCCATATTTAATACGCTTTATATTCTACTTTAAATCTGAATGGTTGGCCGTTAACGTGCATGAGACGTTGAAAACAGAGTTTAAGCCTCACGAGCTTTCAGCTAACGGGTTTCTATGCTCTCTAACACATGACGCATAAGGTTACTATAAAAAGGCATCCTGACAGTTATAAACCCAATATTTTTATTAACTATGATTATCTTTTTGAAAGACTAAAGTTAGCATGAACAGGCGAGTTGGCACAGTGTATAGGTGGGTTTATGTTATCTTAATAATCATTGTTAATAAACATATCAGACTGTTAACTCTTAATAACACAACCTGCACTGCTTATTTGTACCCTTCTTTAAAGGCTGTTAAAATAGGTCTTTAACAGATGGATTGTTTTTCCACTGAAGGAGTGTTCAGTCCTTTGCAATCTGACATTTTTTGCAAAGTTCATGATTTCAGAGATGCATGTGATGGATGATGTGTATGCTGAAGTTTTAACCACATAATGAGTACAACCTTTTCCAGAGATGGTAAAAAGGGTCATCTTAAATGAACAAATACAATCTAATCTACACAAGGACCGCACTGCATGATCACAGGTATGACTACTCTATTAAACTGATGAATCATGTTGGACGATCTGGATCCTACTATAGTCACAAGCAGAGAGCAGTCCCAGACCGTACCCGAACCTCACCCACGTCATTAAAAATGCAACCTAAACAAAATCCTTTCCACCTTTTTATAACTTAACCATCTCAATAACATCACACAATGTAAGCAAGTCCTTGCTTTTGTTAACCTGTAACCAGCAAATATATGGTATTTTATTTTAAAAACTTACAATTAATCAAGAGAATCCTTTGATTTTGATTGCCTGAATTGCTTGGCCGAATTTTTTGCAGCACTATTTTACACTGATTGTATTTATTATCGCCACTAAAGTCACTTTTGATTGTGTGTCACCCTCATGTCGGTACTCAGTAAATCTCGCCTGCTGTGCATTTTCCAATATTTAACCTTGTCATCTGTTTAAAAACCTGGCCGTTTAATTGAGGGGGACGTGTTCTCCATGAGCATCTCGCAGTGACGGTGGTAGCCTGATGAGAGCATCTTTTTGACCCTGTCTGTTTATTGACCGTATCATCAGGAAGTGGCCATGCTTTGTCATCAGGTCAGTAAGCTCATAACTCACCGGCTCTGTCTGTGTGCAGGGCTACACATGGAAAATTAAAATGATTCCGCAATGAAGCAATTTGGTGAGATGTCCAAGCCCAGGTCACCTTGGATCTGTTCCTCAGAGCGGGTGCAACAGTGAATTAATGCTCCACTTGGAAACTGCTGTACTCTTCAAACTGCATCAGTATTTTCATCACTGATGTCATTTGGGTTGTTGATTGGAGCTTCCCTTAGGAGTTTGACAGATATGGAGGTGTGTACGGTAGCGTGAGCAATGTGTTACCCATTTCACATTTTGGTGTAATCAGCTCTGTGCCGAAAAAGTGAATTAAAAGAAAGAAAATATGAAATTAAAAAGGCAAATGTGTACGTGCACACACAGTATACAGTACACTTTGCAATTCTTGGTTGCTGCCTTTTTCTGCAGAGTGAACAATTGTTCGTGTCGGCAGAAACATCACAGAAGAGAATCTGACCTTTACAGCGTATTTTATTACCGTTTCTGAAGTAAAGTATGACATAACAACCTGATTTTAAGGCTTGCTTGTTGATGTTTAACTTTGTACTGAACAATTAGTCGAATAGCTAATTTACAGAATATGAATCTCCAACAATTTTCAAATTCGATTGATTTTTGTCATAAACCAAGGGGAAAGCATTCATTGGATCATGCCCAAATGTTTTCTGTTTTATAAGCTAATAACTGAAAAATAAATACCGTTTGAGTTGTGGACTGCGTTGGACAAAACAAGCAATTTGAAGATGTCACCTTGGGCTTTGGGAAACTGCAACGAGTATTTTCTTCTGTATTTTTTAAAAGAAATAACATTTCTTCTTATAATCAACTCTTGAAATGATGACGGCACTTTAAAATGACATTTAAATAGCCTCGCTCTACCTTGTACCTGATTGAGTGGCTGTTCCAGTCCACACTGACCGGGTGATGCAATGCAGTGTTGAGCTTCTCCACCTCTAGCATGCATCTAAATTTAAACCCCACCACAGCACATTTTGTATCCCTGTCATCGGGGCATTTGATGTGTGTTTTTCCTTTTTTTTTTATTACCTTCGCACAATGACATCGGACCCATGTCCTTTGGCATTTGACACTGGGAACAGACACAAATGATAGTAGCTGAGACATACAGCGGTGATTTCAGTGGCCCGCGCTCTATAGTGAGGTTGAGAGGATAGACACATCTCGTTAAGTAGAAGCTAGTTTTCTAGGTTGATGTACTGTAATAAGTTGGAAAAAAAATGTTTTTTCATGCGTGCAGAGATCCAGAAGTCAAAGCTCTGTTCATTGTTTCCATCGATAGACATTGATGGGCATAACGTACTATTGTCTGAGTAATCAGTAAATCAATAAACTTACTTCCTTTGTGGCTGAGAGGTAGATGAGAAGATAAATAAGACCATAGCTACAATGAGGAGATTGTTAGTTTAGCATAAAGACTAGAATCAGGGAGAACCGGCTATCCTGGCTCTGTTTAATGGTTAAAAAAAACCTCTCTGTAAAGTACACCAAATCTCAGCTTTATTTTTTTAAGATCAGACAAGCCTATGCGAGCTTCCTGTGTAAGCAATCATACTCCTGGGCCTCAGCATTTTTGACTCTGCTGCTGCAGGTATTGTATAGGTCACAGGGCAGGACAGAGTGTCATAGCAGGTTTTGAATTTGGCTCGAAGCCAGCCCTGTCAGGACTCAGTCGTTGCTCTGTGAAGAGCTTTAAGGCACAAACAAGTGAATCAGACTCCTGTGTTTTTATAGTGCTGTTTTATTTTTGCTATTTTTCGCATAAGAAGAAGGCAAAGACGCAGACAATGTCACCGGTGATGGTGTGTGGAGGCGTCTTTGCTGAGCCAGGACCCTTTTCACCCCTTTCTTTGACCTGCTGACAGCTGCAGATGGGACAGATAGGAGCCTGGAGCTCTGAGCAGGACAGGTGAGAGAGGGAGGAGTAGGGAGGACTCAGTCAGCGACAACAGCCCTAGGACACAGAGATGGCAAGCTGCTAGAGATCTGTCGGCTTGCTTAATTGTCTGTTCAGTATGCTCGAGCAATACAGCGTATAGCCTGGCAAGAGGTTTCTGAGTCCCCTTTTGATTATAAATTGCAACAGGCACACAATCCAGAAGCTGTCACTTAGAGAAGGCGCATTTCAGAAGTAAGATGGCAAATTGACTCTAAAATCTCCTCCCTCCCTGTTAGACCTTCACCTCTTTGCTCTAGAGTTACACAGGATTTCCCCCTTTGGAGAGTTCTGATGTGTGGTCCATTTATGGGGCAGGGGGCAAGCTACGCCCCACTCCTCGTCCCGTGTTGATGAATGGGCTCTTTGTGGGCCTGTGGAAACAGGCTGAATCCCTCCATCTACCTCCATATGGCGAGGCCTATAGATCTCCTGTAGCCTGGGGCCACAGTGAACATCTGCCTCTTCCATGGTGCACTTGAGCAGGGACTCCTCCTGCTCTAAAGCACCAACTGGACAACGCAGATGTTTCCGTCTGTCATTCTGTAATTTTTCATTTTTATTTCGTGGCTTCATCTAAGCCCAGCTAATCTGGCATGCTTGTAACATAGTCCTGCTGCAACGCAGGCAACGTCTATTTGTTGTACAACCGTGAAAGCTTGGTGTCACACTTGACAGGTTGGGCTTGTTTGACCCATATCTGAGACGTTAGATGTAAACAGCCAAACTTCATGGCTTTGCAGTTTCACCTTTAACTGCTTTTTTTTTTTTTTTCTTTGAATCCTGCTGATGAAGTGAAATGTCTCGCATGATGGCTTTGTCATGATCGTTCTAATAGGCTTTTGACGAGGCCCAGCTCTCAAGCCCAGTACTTGACTTTGGAAAGAAATGACTCAACCATACCGTCAATGACGTTTGGTTCAAAATCTGGCTTTTTCCCCCACCAACTTTGCTATATTTTATTATAAAAACTCTCTGCGCTCTAAAGCAGATAGCGACATTTGGAAACCAGATGGTCCATTTTTTGGGAAGGTGGTCGCAAGCAGGAAGGTGAATTCCTGTGGAAATAAAGCTTAAGAGACTTAATTAAAAAAAGTATACTGTGCAAACGTTTATCCAGGCCCTCCACCCTATCAGGGGAGATTTAGGAACATTCCCATTGTCTTCAGTGTCTACTCCTCACTTCAGTGTGACTGATGGGTAAACGCCTGCCTACATAAAGGTGTGATTGATGGCTAAGCTCAGGGTTGTGCCCTTAGCTCGGTCTGACAGTTGTCCTGTTGTCATGGTGCAAGAAGTAAACCTTCCTGTTTGAACCTGGGCTTTCCCTGAAATTGACCAACTCCATCTGAAGAATGTTCCAACATACAATTCTATTCCTACTGAATAGAGTTGTATGAGGACCTAAAGGCTGCCTGAAAAACTCATCATGACTCTGCAGTACTCCTACTTATTTGTCTTGGAAAGTAATTGTATCCGTTAAAAAGATTTACAGTAGATACTTTGATCAATAACTGCCGAGATTTCCACAATATTTTAAAATGTGGCTTTCATAATACAGCTTCCTTTCATGTAGGCACTGTGTCAGGAATAATAATGATATTTTCAGGCAGAAAGGTTGGAATTGCATTTGAAAATACAGATGCTTCTTTTAGATATGAAACTTACATTTTCAGATAAATTAAAGCCTTAAGCACAAATTACTATTCATCTCAAAATACTTAAATTTAACAATGAAGTAAGGAATACACAAAACACTGCAATTGTACGTCTGTATTTCTCTCCCTCAGTCCATTATTATGTATACGTGGCATGACTGAGGTCTGTTGAAATAACAATAAAGCAAATGTTTTTCCAGTGCAGACAGACACACCACTGATGGGGTGTCAGACTAATTTCCTCTTGTCTGAGAGTAGGAGGCTGCCTAATCGACATTCCAATAATAATCCCAGCCATCTTTGAGCACTTAGAGGAAATATTCATATGCCCCATTATCACCCACTGCGCCTGATGATAACTTAGACATAAAAAGAAAAAAACACAAATTTACTTTGTTGTGAGGAAAGTTGTATTTTCAGCAGCCGCACACGCCCACCCGTGCTTGCAACTGCCTCTCGGGCCTGCCCGGGGGGGGGGGGTCACCTCTGGATAACATTCAACTCAGCGTGATGTTTTTTTTTTTTTCTGTTTCGTTGTCCTTTCTCCCCCAACAGATGCGAGAACTGTGTGGAGATGCTGTTTGCGCGTGGCTCGGGTAACTGCGTGCAGTGTGAAACGCCCCTGAGGAAGAGCAACTTCCGCGTGCAGCTCTTCGAAGACCCGACCGTAGATAAGGAGGTGGAGATTCGCAAGAAGGTGCTGAAGATGTGAGTGAGGGGGACCCGTGGGTGAGGGGTGGGGCTCTGTGTGTTTATGTGTCATTTCGTGCCTTCTCCCACTTCTTAAGCCACCTTTGTCTTCCTCATTACACTGTTTGTTTTGTAGACAATGAGTCTCCCCGGGGGGGCTCAAACAGGAAGGCTCTTTCACTGCCAGGTTTTTACTTCTCAGCCCCTCCCTGCCTTCCCTCTCTCACTCTCATCTGTTCGTTAATAGCCCCTTAATTGACATCTAATGTGTGCCTATTAGCCAGTATGCAGACATGGTATTTTAAAATGGTTGATTTAATGGAGGCTATTAATGCCGGCGCATATTTGCTTTCATCGGGTTTTACCATTTGTCTCATCAGTTCTGCTCTTCCTCTGCAGATACAACAAGAGACATTTTGACTTCCCCAGCCTGCGAGAGTATAACGACTACCTGGAGAAATTGGAGGACATAGGTAGGACCCACATGGAAGCCTCATGCTGAAACAAAGAGCAGAAGGGATGCCTATAAGTGTAATGCTAACATGTCTTGACTGGCAACCCACCATGGACTTTAAGCATGGCTGTATCAGGAGAGCTGGATAGGATACGGCCAGTCAGCCTCTCTGCTACTTTGTCCCAGTGGCCAACCAAGCTGCAACAACAAAATCAAACAAACCCAGAAGCATTTCCCCCGATAGACCTTCATTAGAGACGTCTGTAAAACCTTTGACAGGACACCTCAAACTACAAATAAGGTTGATTATTACTACTTGTATTATACACGTTTAAACCATGAAGGTTGCATACAGTGGTTGCCAAACTGTTTTGATTGTAATGTGAAAATATAATGATTCACACACCAAACAATAGTAAATGTGATCAGTTATACAGAAAGATAATCATTGTTTCTAAATGTATTACCTATTAAAATAACTACACAACTGTACAAAGCAGTTTGATGTTTGCCCTTTCAGTAGTAATTTAATTAAGAGTAATTCAATACTTTTAAACTCTAATACAGTGCATGGCCTCTGTTGTTATTTGTAAATCTATGAATAAATTAAAACAGGCAGTAATTGTTAAATCCCGATAATGGTTTCTGGTCATGGCCTAAGCGCCCACTTAAAAGTTTGCAATGCAAATATGATAATAAGATGTAAATCTTTAAGTCTAATATTTAGATGTTAGAAACAGAATAGGCAGAAACGGTAAAATATTGATTTCCGTGCCAAGAGGTTAAGTCAGAGATAATTTCAGTCGGCATGTAGTATTTAAACTAGGATGTGCAATGTATATACAGTGCAATTTATTAGCAATATGCTCAAGCAGTATTCTAGTATAATTTAAAAAATTCTCCGTGGGCCATTTAAAAACGGGCAACGGACTTTAGTTGGCCTGCGGGCCGATGTTTGGCCACCCGAGGTTTAATATTTCCAAAACTTTCCCTAAGTTTAGATAATATTTTTTTAATTTTGTGTGACGTTGTCCCAATTAGAAACTCTGGGCCGAGTGGGACAGGGAGGTCCAGACAGGGAGACACTAATGTGAATGTCATGTTAAAGTCAGGTATCCAGTTCCAATTATAAATTGATGGCCTTTCAGACGGCTAGGTCATCGGCCTGGTGCTAGAAGGTGCACCGCTAATATTTAGTGTGCACTCTTAAGTTGACTACCTCCTCTTATTTTACCCATTTAAACCCTAAAAAATATCCTTAAATTGCCCCTTAAGCAGCCTTGAAGTTATATTTTTCCCACAGTTGGACAACATCTTACCAGATGTCATTTTATACGGCACCATTCCATTATATGAAAAATTCTACATGTATTGACCCTCATTTTATACACTTTCAGATGGCAATGTTTGTTATCTCTGAAACTCTTTGGATCTAGACTATAATTAAAAATAATAGTATTGTGGGTACAAACCATGCTTGGGAACATGGGTGTTATCTACAAATCAGCATAACGGTGCATATTTTCAGACCTGAAAATCCTGAACATCTTGAAAGACGTTCATAGTGTTGCACTCGGTTGTTCACATAAAACGTGAGCTGAGAGAGAAGTTCAAACCCTGGCTCCTTTTTCACCTCCACACAGCTGGCCACTCAGTGCATGTGAATGTTGGAAAGTGCATCAGAAGGTTACAGAAATGGACGAACACAGCCCACTCTATCCTGCATAGGAAAAAGATGCCCGGAGGGGTTCTAAAGCTGTTTGTCTATCCGAAAAGCACTTCTAATGGAGTATACTGTACCTTAAATGCTGGCTTGTGTCTGCTCCATGTAGTGTACAACCTGACAAACAACATTGATGTGGAGAATACCAACCTGCAGATGGAGCAGTACCAGAAGGAGCACAGAGATCTCATCCAGAGGAATAAGGTTAAACTGGTATGTACTCGTATTTTCCCAAACATGTGTCAGAGGGTCAAGTACAATATGTCATGCTCGGGCTGGTAGGAATTCCGCCTGTTGGTCAAAGATGTGACACAAGTTTATGCAACATCCCTGTTCTCCTCAGACGAGAGAGCAGGAGGAAGTGGAGGAGCTGCTGTTGCTGGAGCAGCAGGGCAATGAGCAGCGGAGACTGGAGCTGCTGCAGGATGAGCAGAGGCAGCTACAGGCCAAGAGGAAGAACAAGCAGGCTCTGCTGGATGAGCTGGTGAGATACACACATGCTTCATGTACATTTGTCCACAGTCTGGTGAAGACAAAAGCAGTCGCGTTATGACAGATGTTCCATATCTGACACACACACACACACACCCTCAGCCTCAGCCTGAGGGTTCATGGCTGTGGATCATTAAGAGATTATTACCAGTCATTGTGCTTGGGGCTGCATTGTTTTCATTCTGTGATTCCAAAGCCTTCTGGCTCCATTGTGTTGAGCTGCCGGCTTTGGAAGCGATTGTTCCTGCAGAGCGGGCTGCCGAAGGACCATCGCAGATAGCAGGCTAAGCTGTGTGTTTGTTTGTTTAAGGCAGATGAGATCTGTTGTTGACTGTAGGCAGATGAGATCAGCTCCTACCCCCCTAGGGGAACTGTCCTGAGCTTTGACATCTGTACATCCCTGTGGTCAGAGAGCTCACTGTTCTCACACGCACATACACATATATTTAGATTCCTTGTTGGTGTTTGATGAACTAGTGGTCAAATAAAACACATCACTGGCAACAAGTGACACACTTCTTGATTATTGTTCTTATCTAATGTAAACATTGATTTTACATTATTTGTCTGCAGGCTTATTTTTGTTTTAACTTAACTTTTTTCTCAAAATCTTTGTAAAATGAGAATCATGTTAATTATGTGATGTCATTCAAATAAAACAAGTAAATTTATCTGTCCTAAATAAGTACAATTCATGTCAGTGAAAGCGGTACATGTCTGCAGTCAGATGTGTTGGAATCCTTTAAATCACTTTTGGTTTATTATTAAATGTTAAGACACCTCCAGACTGTCCTACCATTGCTGTCCACCCCATCACAAATGTCCTTCCCTTTCAGTGAACTAAGTATCCGAGCTTGTGTTCTTAGACTTCAGCGCTTCGCAACACTCCACTTGAGAAAATGAAATGTCCGACCTTGCTTTTTAATGGAGGTGAAGGCGGCGCAGTGCACTTGAAGTAGCGTCCCCTGCAGTATCACAGTTATGTTGATATGGCTTGCATCAATAATGTGGCCTGAAAGCACCTTATTCTGATGGGGGGGGCTCAACATATACATACAAGTGTCGGCTGCTTTTGGATGAGCAGTTCCTGATGAAGCACTTTGTGGCGTTTATCACATTCCAAGATTAACGTTCTCATAAAATCCCAAATCCCATTTGTCTCACCAGGAGAAGTCTCAACTTCCGGCCACCATCTTGCTTGCCCAACACAAGGTCCGTGCTGCCAACCTGGAGACCCAGATAGAGAAGCAGAAACAGGCAGTCAAGCCTACCAGTCTCTTCTCAACTGGAATCAATATGGTGAGTGCAACTTTAGACTTATTAAACCTTTAACCCCAGTTCAAACTGTACATATACGAATTCAAAGTGATGGACTCTTGCCCTGCGCTCAGAAATGCAAGAGGCTGCGCTGGTGGAGGCGTGTCCTTTCAGGTACTTGTGAGACACTGAATTACTGCCCAGGAAGCCCGGAGGAACAGTGCTATATGATGTAAGCTAGCAAGTATGATATTCTACGGTAATCTTATCAATACCTTCATCTAGATAAAATAATGATCATTGTATTAAACAGAAATGGCTAAATTAGAGATAATCGACATGCATAGCAAAGTGCATTCCCGGAAAAAAAAAACATATGCACAGTGGCTGTTTCTGACCTGATGTAA